TTCGTTGTTTGTGGTGGATAAAGTTCGTTCAATGATCGTCTTAATTGTAACTATATTAAATTGTATTACATATTATAGTGTGATATAATAATATAGTGTGTTATTAACAATATTTTATGATTATTCTAAACAATATTATAGCAAACAGTTTGATCGAACGTATAAATGAAATTACACAAAATGATGATTTCTATGACACATTCATAAGACGACCATTCATAAAATCGAAGTATCGATATCGACGCGTCGCGATGTTCTTCCAACGCGTATTATAATAAGCTTTTCAGCGAAACACTAGGGTATGCGAGAGTCGAAAGTAAAAATTTAGCATTTCTAATACGCGAAAGCTGCCGATCGAAATATGTACCATAATTTTCGTCCAGGTTAGAATGTTTCGTTTGCTAATTGCCGGGAGATTTCTCTCCCGCCGGATGGGTTTATTAATTAATCATTAACGAAGACGCGTGTCTTTGCCAAGAGGTGAAAATTCCAATTAACGAGCCATGTACATATTCTAAATTATATTAGCAATTCAACGTGTTTACAGTTTCTTTTTATCTCGTATCTCACTCTTAAATCTACAGTGAATTTTAATTTTCGTTCAACCTTTTTTGAATTTTAAACTGTAAAAATGGAAGAGGTAAAAATAACATACTCTGTAATATAATGTATAATTTCAACACGTTGCGGTATATATTACCAATCTATCGCGTTTAGTATTTTTTTTTTTTTTTTGGAGTAAATTTCGTCACCTCATTGCAGTCTCAAAATACTACAAAATCGTCTGAAATTTACGAATAGCTTTTTAAACTTTCGTCAAATTTTTAACTTGAATGGTAAAAATTTTGCGAAATAATAACACGCACCGTATATTAATTATTGTCTAGGTTAGAATGTTTCATTTGCTAATGGCCGCCGAGAAATTTCTCTCCCGCTGGATGGTTTTATTAATTGATCATTAACGCGCGTCCGCCAGAAGTGAAAATTCCAATTAACGAACACTAATCGTATAAATATTTCATTTCGAAATTTCGTAGAACTTTGAAAAAAAAAATTACCTGCTCAAATCTTCTAGGCGTATTGCTTTCATTCTTCTTCTTTTTTTTTTTTTTTTCTTTCTTTCATCGTAGTATCGAAACAATCTAAAACGCCCAGAGACAGTGAAAATTTAACAAGATTTCGTACGTGTAATTTTCGTTCTTTGATCAGGATGTTTCATTTGCTAATGGATGCCGCGAGATTTCTCTCCCGCCGGATGTTTATTAATTAACGAAGACGCGTGTTTCTGCCAGAAGTGAAAATTGCAATTAACGTGCCGACCATCTCGACGCTCGTTTCATGCTTTACAACTCGACAGCAGTCTTCGAGTGAAAAATAGTTTCAGGAAAATTATTTCTTCGACCGAGAAAAAAAAAAAAAAAAAAAAAAAATTTGTGCTATCGACGAACGCAGTTCAAACAATCTTGAGTGGTCTGGTCTCTCGTCTGGGCTCCCATGACACGATAAATCACATTAAACGAGGGAGGATTAAAATTAGAAATCGTCAGGTGTATCGTGCATTCTTTCTTTTTTTTTTTTGTCTCTCTCGTCTTTTTCTTTTTTTTTTTTTAACGTTCTTTCTTTCTCCCCAATTAATCGACGAGCTTTCAAATCTCTCTTTGGCCACGCCGGTTGCGTAAGATTCGATGCGAAAAACGATAAAAAAGAAAAAAAAAAAGACGCCACGGAGCAGTCTACACGGATGATTTTTCAGTCATGGCGAACGTTCGGTCCAATCTCGAGGAGGATGCAGCTCGAAGGACCACTTCGAGAGATGCGGATATCACGGTTCGAAGAAAATTCTTCTCATCGGATGAGCCCTTCCCACCTTCCCGCAATTCCTCCAGATTTTCAGGCTTTCGTTCCTCATTGACACTATCAAAATGGTGGAAATAACCAATTCTGGCATTTCAATAGCATCTCTCGTAGAAATTTCACAGATTCATCAACTAGAGCGTGGATTTTTATGTAAATTTTATATATCTTTATGGACAGCATTTCACATACATAAATGCATAAAAATCCCTATTGAATAAACGCTTGGAACTTGTTCCCTCAGTCGTCGCGTTCTTAATTCTAGCGTTAAATATAATAATGCGCGAGAAAAGGAATTGGGATATGTATGTATAGGATGATTCAAAATTAAACGAACCCTGAAAAACTCTTGGTCCTGCCCTCTGTCTGTGGCTGTTTGTGGTGGGAGGTTAGAACTAACGATACATCAGGTCTATCTCTCCCTCCCCGTCCAATCCAATCTGAAATGTCGTCTCCGCTATTAACAAGCCGCTATCGGACGATCGTGTTCGAGCCACGGTCCTAAAGAGACTCTGCTTTTGCTCTGGTAATCGCTTGATATGGTATGTCTGCAACTGCATGTCACTTCCATCACCACCGATCTTCGTGACTTTTGGTGTCCGGGCGCGCTGCCTCGTCGAAATCCCTACGATCGTATCTCGCGACGATTTCTAAATTCCAGCAAGTGTGTGTTCAAATTCCTCTACGATTCTGTCGGAGGATCCGTTTCTCGACGAGCCAGCGTGTCCGAGCTTTCCGAGATACGCCTAGATCGGACGAGATGCCGAGCTCGACTTCTCCCGAAACGAAGAATATGTTTCGTCGTTGCATAAATCGACGAGAGGAGAATTCGAGTCTCGCGTGTTCGATCGAACGGTGTGTACTCACTGAACACGGTAGCTTCTTCACTCGTTGAAGTCGTTGAAACGCGATGAAATGCTCGACGACGTGAGATTAATGGCGGTTTGTCGTTTTTGACGGTGCAACGCCGATAGAGGGTCGCGAGTGCGTGAACTGCGGCGCAACATCGACACCTCTGTGGAGACGGGACGGCACCGGTCACTACCTCTGCAACGCCTGCGGACTCTACTACAAGATGAACGGGCAGAATCGACCTCTCATCAAGCCGAAACGACGCCTGGTAAGTACCTAAGCTGAATCACTTAGCTCGCATGATGTGTGTGGCATATATATTTATCTCTGTCCGGGAAGGATCGAAGACGCACAACACAAGCTTTCTCCGCCATTTGAATTGTAAATCTCTCTCTCGGCTGGAATAGGAAGTTTACGTAACGTTACGGGGCGTCGTCGAAAAATGTCGAGGTGTTGCAGAGTTTTTACCTTACCTTGTATGTATCCACGTATCGGGGAAATTCGTGTTTGCCGGACCGGCCGGAAAAGCCTCGTCAAGCAACAGGAACCGACGACTCGCCTCGTAAAGCTTATACCACCACCAGTCTGGCTCGTAAAAGCATGTCCTTGATCGTTTCCTTGACGCGCATCGAGCCGCGCACACGCTTAATTAATACGCGCTCGCGATCCACCGCGAGTTATGTGTTTCCCGCGAATATGTAGATGCAGGCAGTCATCAGAATGCGAGATAAAACAAGGCCAAGCTAATTTCCTGTACGCGACTATATCAGTGTATACAGAGGTCTCTCCGAAAAGTAGTCTCTCCGTAGAGCGTCGTATAAGCCTGTTCGAAAGATTACTGGAACGCGTTAGAAATGGAAATTCGGGAAGGGTATATCTGGCGTAGGACTAGGACGGGGATCGATCGATAGCGCGAGGGGTAACAAAACAGGGGCTTTCGTGCGATCGGCCCGGTACCGGCCTCGTGTGAATTCGATCTATTTTCGTCGAGCAGACACTGGCACCTACGCAGACGGAACGGCTCGGCCGCGAAACTCGATACCACCGGCCTCGTTCTTCCCTTCTTTCTCGCCTTTGCGTAGATTCATAAATTGCCATTCCTGTTGTCTGGCTGGCCTGGCCAAAAAGAGAAAAAAGACACGTTTCGTCGATCCTCTTCGGTTCTGCGTACAGCGAACGGCATAATTGAACCCAAAGGACGCAAAATATGCTTAATATTTCTCAAAGTTACTACGCATATTTTTTCATTCGCTCGTAACAAGAAATATTCGTTCATTCAGTTTTCATTTTATATGGTACGAGCGAGAATATAACGAAAACCAGCGTGTAAAAATATATCTGTACAGTAAAAAATATAACCGTTTCTTGAAGAAGGTTATTTCAGAGTTATCGCGTAGAATTTCCTATCTCAGTTTGTGGAGATTTTTAAAACAAAAAGCGATATAATTTTCGTGTATGTAAACGAGTATCAATGTTGCTTGTTGAATCGAAGAGAGCGATCCTAAAAGTAATAAATATTAGCATTAACGTTAGTAAGTGATTGGAGACATAATATAATTGTGCGAAAGTAAATTAACGAATATTTCTCTTCACACGTTAGGTACTAAAAAACTATTCGCAACGTTAAAAGATTGTTCATGTTCAGCTTTAATCATCTAAAACGTTTGCTACTACGTTCATCTTTCATGTATCTTAATATCAGCATTAACAAGAACAGATTTATACAATAGCCGTGATTAACACATCGTGATTAGATTCATAAATTGCCCAGTGGTTTTTCCATGCCTCGCAAGGAAAAACTCGTTTCGTGCTGGCGTGTCTGTACTGTTCGCCAGCACGACGAAGTAATCGTCGATTCGCACAGGGGAAAGTAAACGTTTTCGTTGTTCGATCGAAAGAGAAGAGTCAGCCGGCGGCTGCATTCCGCGGATGCAAAAGCGCATAGCCACCGGGTGACGTTTCACTATCCCTCTCGCGCGCTTTCACTATCCCGTGCGCGATAGAGCAAAGCTGATGGATTCAAGCTTTTTCTCGCCGCCACCTGCGCTCGGCTCCTCTAATTACGCTACTCACGCACGCCTGCATTTATTAATCGTCGCGTTTTTGCCGTCATTTGTCGGCCGGTTACCTGCTCGCCTATCAACTTCGCCAGACTGTCGCTTATATCTCTGCTTTTCGCGGCAAAACTTGGGAACAGCCAAACGGAGAAATCCAGTCGGAGAGGATTCTCATCTTCTGATATTCTTCCTCATTTAAATTTGGTTCAAAATGGCCAAAAATAATTAATACTTTGTCCCCTCCTTTTTTCTTTTGCATCATCTACCTGCAAAGTAGCGAGTGAAGTATCACTATAATAAAATGATATATCATTGGAAATAATCAAAATGCTGCTTAGCGTGAAATTTTGTTGAGCATATTTTTCTAACTATCGTTGAAAACGATCATCAACGTGCACTGCGGATTTGTTAGAACAAGTACAGTATATAATAGTTAATGATACATACGTTCAATTTCCGGGTAATTTCTTTCACCATTTTTTACACTTTCATAAGCGATAAGAAGTCCAGTTTATGTGAATTATTCCAATGTCAATTGACTCATGACTACCTCTCTTCAGAAATTTCTTCTTTTGAAATTCTTTTCTTCTTATGTAATTATAGCTTTCAACTCTAGGTATCTGTTCAGCCAACATCAAACGTAAACCTACGTTCATTATAACTATTAGCAATCATAAAAAAAAAGGAAGTGTTAAATTTAAGTACTATGCAAACCGTTAAGTTCAGCATCTATATATTTTTGACGTCAAAAGAACAGTCGTCGACGCCATCTTGCTTTTTAAATCATTGTCATCTCGACTTAACCTAATTCTTTATGTATTCCACTCGTGTACCATTTTACATTTGTCAATCTAAATAAGCGGATAAAAATAAAGAGTGGACTCGAACCCTGTTTTTTCCGGGAAAATGACCGAGGGTCGGGTGAATATTGCCTACTGGTCGGCGGCCAGCATCGGACGCCAGCTCAAATATTATGACAGCACGACGAGCCGCGTGCACGCCCACCTATCATTCACCACTGAGGACGTGTAGTACTCGTGCCGATGAGCATCGCGCGAGCCCGAAACTAATAAAATATGTATCGGTTTAAACCGGTAGGCGACCGCCTTATCGACCGGCACGCGTGTGTCACATTTTCGGCCGGACGCTGTAATTTTCTTTGCTGTGGCTCTCTTTCCTCGAGGGTCCGCGTCACGTCCGTTTCTCTCTCCCGTGTTGTTTTTAATGATCGAGCCGAAACTTTGTTCCTGATATTACGTGAAAGTGCCGGCGACGTCAAGTAAACGGTTAACACCGGCGGCGCTCTGTGTTTTCGGTAATTGGTATCGAGAAACATGTGACGAGTATTTTTTTTTTTTTTTAATTTGGGACAAAAACCTCTTGATACGAAGACCATGCACACTTTCGAAACTTTTTAGATCAAATTATCGTCGTTTTGGAAGCAAGATGTTTCGCTTGTTCCTAATTCTCTCATAACACGTCTATATATCTCTGAACATTCGTTGTTCCACTAATAAATATAGTTTTCTATTCCATTGTACGATTGACGTTCTTAAACCGCGTTTCACATTTCACGTTGATCAAAGATTCGATGTCAATACTCCTCCATGTACGAATTCTGTTTTCAGTGCTGGAATATTACAGAGACACTCCTCGGCCAATTACGAAAATCATAATTCATTTACCTTCGGAATTTGACCGGTAGAGAGCAATCGTGTCGCTCATCTTAATTCAGCAGTGAAAACTATGCCGTGTTCAAGTGCGTCTTAATTAGTTTTATCCCGACTATCGTTGTGAACGATTGTTGATGACGTGTAAACACAATACACGTACTACGTGTGCAATTTGAATCGAAATCGTCGTTTCTTTGATCAACAAAACTTTATCGCGGTACGTGTAACCTAAGGATGTGTCAAAGTAAGAAGTCTCACCGAGCAAAAGAGTTAACCTATACGCGAAAGAACGTACCGTAGTGGCTGACGGGAAATGTGACCCCCTCGGGAGAGGTAAACGTGGAAAAAAGGGGGATACGATCGCCGAAAAACTAGGAGGAGCCACGCGGTGCCATATGCTTTTCGCACAATATGTCGCGTTTTTACGAGGCTGTGCCATGGGAGCGAATCCGGTCGCAGATGTGACGAGAGAGGAGAGAAAGAGGGCCACCGATACGATCAACGAAACAAAGGGCGACCACCACCAGGTATGCACCACCACTCCCTCCTCTTCTCTTCCGCCTCCCCCCGTGCGCTCGTTCCTTCTCTTTCTCTCTCTGTTCTGTCTCACCGCCGAAATAATAAAGTCGTGGCACACATATCGGGCTACGTGAAAACGGCATTGTGCCGACGTGTCTTTTCCACGGAAATTCCAGCCGAGCGTTATTATGAACGGGGTACGGTCTAACGTGCTCGAAAGCACTGATGGGCCAGATAGCAAGGGTTGAAACCCTCTCTCTCTCTCCGCTCGCTGCGAGCGCTAAAGCGTCCTGCTCAACCGACCGCCGCCATCTTTGATTCGTTGCGCAGATAACAACGAACAGCTGGCAAGTTTTCGCTGCTTTTTTTCCACCCCTCCCCCCCTTCCCTCTTCCTTTCTCTTGGTGTTCTGTCTCTACTATTTCTTTTTTTTTTTTCCTTTCTTTTCCCCTCTTCTTTTGACGGATCGTTCCTTGCTCGGCGGGATGTCTCTGTTTTATCGGGGGCGCAACAGGGGCGAGAGCCACTGCTCTACCACTGTCCATGAGGCGTCGTCGCTTCATAGAAACGTAAATGTAGTCTGTGTGTGGTAATCGTGACCGAGTTCGTGTTATTATAAACCATTATATATTATAGACTCTGCAACATCGTGCAACTTGAAATTTTGCTCTTACACTGTCAAGTGTTTAATACTTGACAGAGCGTAACATTCATAGCATACGGAATAATAATATACGTATAATGCACAGGGGCAAAGTTAAAGTACCCTATATATACAAATGCATAAAAATTCGTAGTTCAGTTACAACCAACAAGTGCGTTGCAACTATCATTTCGTAGACAGTCCTTCCTTTTGCGTCAGTCGCTCTATGAGAACATGTAATAATCGTGTCGAATATCACGATGCACGAAAGAACAGCTCTCTTGTGACGTTTACTTTCGCATTGTGAACGCGAACGTTCAAGTCGTCGAGAGGACGATTTTTCCACCGTGCGGATCTTCGAGGACGTCGTCATGCA